GTAGTATTTATAACAATAATTTGTGGTATAAAATATTCTATTCCAAACAATAATAATACAAATTATTAAATAGAATAGGTATATGCATGTTATTTTAACATAACACACTACAAACACATCATATTTGAAATAAGTTTCATTATTCTTTTAATATTTATATATACTGTGTGTGCATATACAGTGCTCAGCATACACAAGTACAGCCCTCGCAAATTTCTCTTTTAAATTCATATTTTTAATAGGAAGCTATACAATATTATTTTTGTGCATAAACATTAGATTAGTCTGTACTGAAGCCAAATCTGGAGCTTATCTAACAAAATAAAAAAGTAAAAACTAGCACACCCAAATTTATGTTATAAAAAAACATTTAATATAAAAAAAGAGGAAAAATCGAAGGCAAAACAAAATTATTTTTGTGAGTTTTTTTGTAGTAATTTTTTTTTGCAATATTTTACTTGAATTTAATTGTATTATCTTTCAATTTCTACATTTTTTTTGGTGACTAAATTTTTATTTTAATAAATAAATATGTTTAATAAATCTGTTTTGTTTAAATGCACCAAAATACATTGCGTATATTCACTAAGAAATGGATAAAATTATTCCCTTTCAAAATGGGGTGTACTCAATTTTGCTGAGCACTGTGTGTGTGTGTGTGTATTATTTTGCCTACAAACAAAAACCTCTGTGGCTATATAACTATATAATGACCATTATAATAGTCCATAGTTTAAACAAAAACAACTGATTTATATACAACCATTAAAACAAATATGGTTTATAAAAATATAATATATTAAACCTCTATTTAATCTCATAATATACAGTAATGTGTTCTATTAAACTAATTTAAAAATTCATGATTATTCTAAATAATCACCAAAACAAAGTCATGTAAACGCAAGTAATGTGAGTAATGTAAAAGCAGGCACCAAAATTAAATAAAACCTGACCACAAATTTAGAAATCAATTCAGAAATGGATGTAAAAGGAGCTCTAGGCTGTGCTCTTCACCTCTTTCTCCATGTATTTGACAAACTCTGCTTGTCTGGAGCGCCCGAGTGGCTCCGTCTTCAACTCAGTTCGCTTCTCCAGCCGGGATTCATATTCTTGAGGTTTTGAGCTGATATTACAGTAACACACACACACACACACACACACACACACACACACACACACACACACACACACACACACACACACACACACACACACACACACACACACAACCATTAATACTTGACAGTATCATAAGTGACCCTGGAACACTAAATTTATTACATTGTAAAGGGTAAAAAAAATTATTTTACAGTTTAAGTCTGAACTATTAGCCCCCCTTTGAGTTTTTTTTCCCTTTTGTAAATATTTCCCAAATGATGTTTAACATAGCAAGGAAGTTTTTTACAGTATGTTTGATAATATTTTTTCTTCTGGAGAAAGTCTTAATTGTTTTATTTCGGCAAGTATAAAAGCAGTTTATCATTTTTTAACAAACATTTTAAGGTCAAAATTATGAGCACCTTTAAGCTGTATATATTTTTTCGATAGTCTCTTGAAAACTATCGTTATACAGTAACTTGCCTAATTACCCTAACCTGCCTAGTTCACCTAATTAACCTAGTTAGGCCATTAAATGTCATTTTAAGCTGTATAGATGCGGCTTGAAAAATCATGCCATGTCATTATGGCAAAGATAAAATAAATCAGTTATTAGAGATGAGTTATTAAAATTATTATGTTTAAAAATATGATGAAAAAAATCTTCTCTCAGTTAAACAGAATTTAGGGGAAAAAACAATAATAATTCAAGGGGGTTAATAATTCCGACTTATATATATATATATATATATATTTTTTTTTTTTTTTCAAATTGTTTTAGTAGATGTTATAAATGTTCTTTTATACCAAAAAATCAATACATTTTTATGTAAAGATCATATTTCATGAATATTTTAAAAACATTTTCTACTCCAAATTGATCAAACCTTAATTTCTGGTTAGCATAAAGCATGGCTAAACACTTAATTAAACAACTTTAATGGTGACATCCTCAGTATTTCGTTTTTTTTAAACTACCAAACCATACATAAAATGAAAACCCATTTATTCAAATTTCAGGCATAAATTTCATTTATAAGTCCCAAGCTCAAAAGGTGGACACATGAATTGAGGTAAAGATGGTTTTATATTCATGCATTCCAACTTTTGCTTAATAATATAATTACACAAAATTATGCTTTGCAAATTCTAAATAGTGAAATTAAATTATCAGCAGACCTGTAGCCAGCCTGGTTAAAGGGGTGGTTCATTTTTCTTAAAAATTTAACCTTTTTGCAGTTATTCGCCTCATTTTCTATTCAATTATCAGATTTAAATTCTCCATTTAGTGATATTTTAAGCACTATTTTAGCTGAATTCAATTGTCAGATGGTCATCATGACCACACTTTTTGATGTACCAAAAATATTTACTAAACATTTAGAATAAAGAAATTTGACAAATATTTATTTTTAATATACAAATTTATTACATCATATAGGTAAAAAAAAGTTTTACATTTAAAACTGAGCCTATTTATTTGGCAAATAACCAATGGCCAGCACATTCAACTTTCCTCAGTCAGAATTTGGCTGTTTTTATAATACAAAATTCAAACATAATAAAAAAAATAATAATTTAGAGCTTCTCAATTTTTCTAGCATCTCTTTCTTTCAAGAATAAGGTTCAAGATTTAGAATAAAAGTTACTTGTCAAATATTTTCTCTATTTTAAAAAGAGTAAAGTAGTGAAAGATGACTGCTTATATCAGATGATTTCTTGCACAGCTGGATGAAAAATATTTGTTTGCATTGGCCAAAACTGAAGTCACACCAGGATTCGATGGGTTATTTTTTTCTATTTATTAATAAAGTCAAAATAGGACAAATGAGCTCATGTATGGGACAAATTCTGCACCTTTGCCAGTGAGGAGTAAATTTTCCAAACCACCCGAACCCCACCTGGCTACAGGCATGAGCAGTCGATGACTATCAAAGTTAAACACAGTTTACAGTTAAATAAATAGCGCTAATGTTGTTTTCAAGTCATATTTACATGGGATTTAAGATCCGGTAAATAACCAAAGTACCTGGGTAAACAATACAGGGAGGAAGCATATCAGAAGTTATCACTGAACGAATGTGCGAATATAAAACCAACGTTACGTTACCTCAATCACCTATGGCTGTTTTCTATACCAGGGTGCCATAGACTGTAAAATGAAATGAGGTAAAGTTGGTTTTATATTCGCACATTTGTTCAGTAACATGTGACAGGCTTCTTGTCTTGTTTACCATGACACTTTAAATATTCGGTCTGAAATTTCATGTAAATAATACCACATTAGCACTATTTATCTGACTGAACGATGTTTTACTTCGACAGTCGTCGGCTGCTAATATGATTTTACGATTAGAATTCAGAATATAAAAGTATATTATTAGTGAGAAAGTCTGAATGCGTGATTATAAACCCAACTTCACCTCGGTCTGTAAAAGGTCTCATATTAAACATGTCTTACAGGTCAGCATTCGACAGCCACTGACCTCCGCAGTTTCCTGATCTTCTCCTCGTATTTGCTGTAATATGGATTTTCCTCCAGCTCGGGCTCTTTCTTCATCGAGAAGGCCCTGAAGTGAGACGGCACAAGTCCGGGGATCAGCGGGCGGATTCCGTGGTTTCTGACCGCCAACATCCCGCGGTACAAACACGACATTTGCACCATGGCGGCCGCCATCTTTTCCCCGTCCCACATCTGTGAGGGTCCGGGCGGAGCCAAGTTAAATGTAAGCGCAAATGGTTCCTACATGTTTTTTTTTCATGGTCGTTTATGACAGGGATTGTTTTATGATGTTCACAATGCTTAATTTATATGTTTAAATAATAGGTACATTATTTAGATGTATATAGTACATTATTTATATAATTCATACATTCATTTTTTTCCGGCTTTGTCCTTTTATTATTCTGGGGTCACCACAGCACAATGAACCGCCAACTTATCCAGCATATGTTTTATGCAGCGGAAAACCTTCCAACCCATCTCTGAGAAACATCCATACACATTCATTCACACACACACACACACCAATTTAGCTTACCCAATTCACCTATTACCAGAGGAAGAAACCAAAGCACTCTGAGGAAACTCAAGCGAACATGGGGAGAACATGCAAACTCCACACAGAAAAGCCAACTGACCCAGCTGAGGCTTTTTTTAATGAAATTTTATATAGAAAAGAAGAAATGTATGGGTGTATGGGTGTTTCCCAGTGATGGGTTGCAGCTGGAAGGGCATCCGCTGCGTAAAACATGTGCTGGATAAGTTAGCGGTTCATTCCGCTGTGGCGACCCCAGATTAATAAAGGGACTAAGCCGAAAAGAAAATGAATGAATGAAAAATAAACATAATATATTATTATTATGGCTACTATTAGTAATAATAAAAATTAACATTGTAATAATACTGATAATATAATTTTATATTATTTTTATTATCTCTATTAAACAATATATAACATTATATTATAATAAAAAAGCAAGTATAGGAAAAATTATTTTTTGCTACCTTAAAAATCTGATTTGTGGAATTATTATTGTATTATTTATTTTATTTATTATATTTCCTAATACTAATGGTCTATAACTAATAATTAATAATAGTTGAGACATTTTTTGTTATATATTTAGAATTAGTATAATATAATATAAAAAATAATGTTACATTATAATATGTATAGGCCTAATAATAATCATTATCATCATTAGATTATTATTATTTCTAAATATAGGAAAACTATGAGATAAATTATAAATACTACTGTTATTATTATGATTATACATGTGTATATATAATAAATTAAGATATATATGTTTATGTACATATACATACACTTGGTAGATATCTTTAAAATGATTAATAATAATAAAATAACACCAAATAAACAGCGCCACAAAAGTTACCTTTTTGTATTATCAATTTTGTTTGCCATTTATTGATTGTAAATATATTAATAACACCAGAAAGAATGTCACCGTAAGCTGAAATACAATTATTCAGCTCTGCAAGAATGTATTAGTAACATTATAATAATAAAAAGAGCGCTATAAATAATTCAATCTGTTTTAGCTGATTTGTGCAGGTGCTGAACAAACGTATCTGTGTTCGGATCCATCAATGCAACCTTTAGGAATCCACATCTTCTGGCTCTGAGCTAAAACACAAACAGAGCGAGTTTGATCCTCTTCATCTTTCCTGAGTCTGGAGAACGACAGCACTTTCCCATCCGTCCATATCCATCCGTGCTCCGGACCACCTACCAGTCCTAAAAGCAACCATAAAAACATTCGGTTACACTTTATTTTAAGGCTACGTCGCCTTTTAACTATTCATGTAACTACTATTATACATGTAATAGTATACGTTTAAGGGCAGCACAGTGGCACAATGGGTAACACAATCGCCTCGCAGCAAGAAGGTCACTGGTTTGAGCCCTGGCATGGTCAGTTGGCATTTCTGTGTGGAGTTTGCATGTTCTCCTTGTGTTCGAGTGGGTTTCCTCTGGATGCTCCGGTTCCCCCCCCCAACTCTAAAGACATGCGGTACAGGTGTATTGGGTAAGCTAAAATTGTCCGTAGTGTATGTGTGTGAATAAGTGTGTGTGGAAGTTTCCCAGTAATGGCTTGAAGCTGGAAGGGCATCCGCTGTGTAAAACATATGCTGGATAAGCTGGACTAAGCCAAAAATAAAATGAATAAAAGAATTAATGAATATTATATGTTTAATTATTTGGTTTCTGTTGCAATGTTGACATTTTGGGGGAACCTATGCTGTTTCTGACGATCTGAATGATATGATGCCTACTTCCAGCAGGATAACACGCCATGTGTTATGATCACCAGAAGTTCTGCACATGCAGGCTACTGGAGAACACGCCCTGTCATTCTACCAAACTACAAACCCCATCATGGCCTGCAGTCACACGCCTGTTTCAGTGCACCTCCTGATTACACACATAGCTGAAGCTGATTAGGACTGACTACTTGGACTATATATATACACCACACACTCTGATATCTGTGCTGAGTCTTGTTTACCTGTATTGAGCATTAGTGGTGGGCAAAGCCTTATAAAACACTGAAACAGTCAAAGCAAATTTGTTGGAGCTTCAAAACTTTTTGAAACCCGTCTCAACAGACACCTAGTGGTCATTTTTATGTATTGCTCTAGAACAGCAATGAAACAGTTAAGCGAGTTTAGGGTATTAAACTTCACGTTCTACAGTTTAGGTTTCTAGTGATTTAATGAAGTGGTGAGAGTTCCTGACTAGCATGTTCTGACCCTTGTTTGCCACCTGCCATGATCTTTTGCCTGTTTAGATTACCCTTTGAATTATCTACAGGCAACTGTCTATTCCTGTTTTGAACCTTGTCTGTCTGACCATTCTCAAATAAAAGCTAAATTTGGATCCTCACCTCTGTTGCCACCTTAAATCATAGTGAAAATCACAAATACTACACTCAAATGTCTCCACAGTCACCAGATCAGGCAGTTTTGAAGGCAAAAGTCAGTGTAGCCTTATACCAGCAAGGTGTATCTAATAAAGTGGCCAGTAAAACCACATGTACTTTGCTTACCAATCCAAAATGGCTGCTTCCCAGCAAACTTCCAGATCCACTTCATATCATTCTTTGAGTGGATACCTGTCAATTGGCCTTCAAGCCTAGATTTTGGAGTCACAAAATGATAGTTATTAGCAGATAAGGCAGTTGTATGAAGCATGGTAGCATACACGACTTAATATATGTAACATACAGTGTGCAGGCATGTTGTGCGCTACTCCAGCTAGCGGTACCAGGCCCCAAAATATAGCAGTTCCTCCGGTAGTGAGTCCAACCATTTGGACAATCGATGCTAACAGATGTCTGAGACTTTAAACAGAGCAGGAAAGATTTACTGAATGTACATAACCAAGAGAAGCTCATCAACAGAACTGTTGCATGTTGTCATACTTTGTGTTGTTGAATGTCAGAGGCGGAGTCACGCTGAGGGGTTTCTGCTGAATCTCCAGGCCAGCTCCAGATGGGAGTGATCTCCAGTTCAGAGTGAACACGAGGAGCCGCTTCCTGCTGGCTCACCGGGATCACACCGTGAAACTGAAGGACAGATAAAACCAGAGACGGGTGACATATCTTGAGTCCAGCACATTAATATGTATAATAGAGGGAAAATACATCCATGTAGAATAAACTAATTATTATTCATTCATTTTCTTTTCTCTTAGTCCCTTTAATAATCTGGGGTCGCCACAGCAGAATGAACCGCCAACTTATCCAGTATATGTTTTACGCAGTGGATGCCCCATCCAGCCACAACCCAACAATGGGAAACACCCATACACTCTTGCATTCACATAAACTCACTAAGACCAATTTAGCTTATTCAATTCACCTATAGCGCATGTCTTTGGACTGTGGGGGAAACCGGAGAAGCCCGAGGAAACCCATGCGATCACGAGGAGAATATGCAAACTCCACACAGAAATACCAACTGAACCAGCTAAGGCTCGAACCAGTGACCTTCTTGCAGTGAGGCGATTGTGCTACCCACTACGACCCTCAAAAATAGTTATTACGGAAAAAAAAAAATACATTTACACAAAGTAAAAATATTGTTTAATAAAGTGACACTTTTAGTTTAGAAAACTTAGTAGAAAACTTTAAACCTTAGATCAAAGTATAATCTTGTTTTGGATCAACCTAAAAATTACTGTAATTTGTTACAGCTAAACTCATAAATTACCTTCAAATTATAGTTTTGACTGTTGAAAACTAAAAATGTATTTAATATCGATCAAATAAAAAGCACTAAACACTACAACCAAAAAAAAAAGAATAAAAGAAGTAAAAACAAAGAATGACATTTAATGAAACTTCAAAAACGTAAAGAACAAAGAAAAACACTTACTCTCCAAACCCTTTCCTGATTTCTGCTGTCCACCTCTGACAGACCAGCCTAAAACAGCACATTATTGATTTATTAAAGTAACAGATTTAGTAAATGTATAGATAAAATAAATCGCTCACTCTCTGTCTGTTTCCTTCCAGGACCCTCAGTTGTCTCCGGCCTGGACTGTGAAAGGCCTCCTGCTCCATATGTTGACCTGTAAGGCTGTAATGGTTAAAATCAGTGCGATACGGGACGTCTCCTCTTGGAGGATAGTTCTCCCAGAGGATCCCGCTTCTTGGGTCCGGAGTGTACTCCTCAAGCACGGGTGTTTCTGGCTCTGGGATGTGTGGCTGGATTTGGTAAGTATGTTGATTCTCATCTTCCTCCACAATAAGGTCATCTGGATTACACCTGCCTGGAGATGGAAATATTCAGCTTATATACTGTTATATTCTGAAGGATCATTTTGTGTGAACACAATTTTTTTTAAAAGAGAAAATTCAGTAAATACAATTGATTTTGGATTTATTTTAAGGTTCTTATAAATCAGCAAGGACCAGATTCAGCTAAAAATCTTTTTTAAAGTTCTACTGAAGAAAAAAACTACATCACATACATCTTCAATGGCCTCAGGGTGAGTAAATAGACTGTTATATCTAATTACTGTATATTCATTTTTTGTGTTTTTCTTAGTTTTCTTTTGGAATATTGTTATTAAGGATTTTTAAAAGTCTTTCATTACTTTTTTTAGGTTTGTCTTTCTTTTGATAAACATCTCACAAAATTGAAGAGTCGTTTCTTAAACTTCGTTGATTTGACACAGAAAAATCACCATTTCTAGGATCCACAATCTCAACAGAGGCCTTGTTCCTCTGTCCCAAAACAGCATTTTTTGGAGCCTTCAGAATGATGTCAAATCTCTCATGGTTCTCTTCCAGTCCATCATCTTTCAGGTAAATGTTCCACATTTTGACATTCACACCTGAATGCAAGGAAAAAGCATTAAAGACTCTGAATGTTCTGCAGATGAGGCTTTGTAATGTTGTCCCTCTATTTAATAAGACCTCAACGTAGCCACAGGTATTCATTTTGTGTTGCCTGTATGCTCTTTTTTTACTCTTAAAGTATCAGAAGCTGTTGACTTGCTTTTTATGAATCACCAAGAACTTTCTGTCAAACTACAACCATATCATAATGAAATGCCAAAAAACCTGTCTTTGTAATTCTTTAATGTTTACAATTATGTTAGTGCTCTAGTACTAGTAAATCCTGAAATTTCATACGATAAATATCTATAACTAAATATATGTAAAGAAATAATTCTTCCAACTATATAATAAAAATATTACATAAACCAAAACTAACACAGAAATATTTGTATTAAAAATAAGTAAATAAAATACTAAATAACACTGCAAAATAAACTACAAAACTACAATTAACTAAATATTTAAACTACAAAATAATATTTATACTAATATATCAACAATACAGCAAAATTAAAAAGAAAAACTACTACACTACAATAAAGGCATATTATTATTATAGTATTTATAACAATAATAATAATAATGTAAACTACTGTGTAAAAAACAAGATAAATATTTCAAATAAACACAATATAAAACAAACAAATAATTATTACTAATAATAAAACAGTTAAATATAATGCCAATTCTTCTAAATGAAGTAAAACACATTCAACCAATGAGTCAATCACTCAATCAATGGGCATTGTATTTTAATAATGTAATAATATAATTGTTTATTCAGTTTTCTATGTTTTTACAAAGAAAAATGACATTTTGTGTATTCATGTTAATGTATATTTGACCTTTCAATGGTATATATTGGTATAATTTAATGTAATATAAAATAACATTGGCCAATCAACTGACCAATCAGCGCACTCGTGGCTTTTCAGAGGGAGGGGCTTGTAGGGATCAAAACTCAGAAATCATCAATAGAGAGAGATCAAAAATTGTAGTGATCAAATATCCAAGCATTTCAGTAGTGACGGGGCCAGAGGGGTGTCACTGGACACCCCTCACATCCGATTGGCCACCCTGGGTGCCACCCCAAAATTTAATCTGCTGTTGGTAGTTCCTGATGTCTTGTCTGATTGACATCTTTTTCGTCTAAAGAAGTTTTCTAAATTTGTTGGCATTGCTCAAGCTACTGTCAAATCAACGTCGAGCCGAAAACAAGAGCATGCTTTCAAGTAAGACGAATAATAATACATCATAACATAATATCTGAAATACGTTTTATAGATAATATAAGGTTTGTTTGCTGAGGAACGTTTATTATCCGCTGTGCAAGTTAACGAGGCACCAACCACATCAGTTAACTTAATAGAGAGATCAATATGCTCTTATGACAGTTAACACTGTACGTCATCTGTGCTAGTATTACATGCACATTCCATGTATGTAAGTTATTATATTTAATTTACGATGCTCAAATATTTTGCTAATATGGGGAAGTAATGTGAGGCTAGCTGTTTGCGAATTAAATATATTTGAAATGGAATAGCCAGCTCATTTACTTTCTTCAGAAAAATGTTTTTTAGATCATGATAATGAATATTTTAATACCAGACTTTTATAGTTTTGCACATGATCAATCAAACATGAAAAGAAAGGGCGAGACACTAGACTTCTTATAAAGAAGCACAAACAATGTGCTTTTTCTTTTCAAATCCAGGTCTGTTTGATGTCTGCTATGTGTAATTGCAGTAGTTTTTGTTTGTTTTTTTATGCTAATGTTTTTGTAAATAAATTTAGCATGGTTTTTGCTACATAAAACTTTTGAATTCCTTAATTTATTATTTATTATTTGAGTACTGTGTGTGTGTGTATGTGTTTTTGTGACATATCAGGACACAAATCTGTATAATGACATGGGTATGACACAGGTATTACAAACAAGAGGTGAAATATGAGGACATTGGTGACGTCCTCATTTCTTAAAATGCTTATAAATCTTACAGAATGAGTTTAATCAGAGATTAAAGCTGCACACAGTCTCCTGTGATGGTTGGGTTTAAGGGTGGGGTGGGGGCAATACAATATATGGTTTGGACAGTATAAAATGAATGGAAACCTATGTAATGTCCCCAATTTTCACAAAAACAAACCTGTGTGTGTGTGTGTGTAAGTGTGTGTGTGTGTGTGTGTGTGTGTGTGTCTGTGTGTGGACCCTGTAAAATAGCAGTGGCCACCCCCTGTAAAAAAAATTTTAGCTCCACCACTGCATTTCAGACATAAAACTAAAAACCTTTAAAGCAAAATAAACTCAATAGTGACTTCCCGAAGTCTTTTAAAGGCTTTAAACATTTCTAAAATACCATCAAACAACATATTTAACATAAGAATAAACAAAAATTAACTGTAAACAGCTCTAATTTTAAGTAATGAGCACCTGGATCGAACTGTATCAGACTGGCCGAGCTGTGAGTGAAGTCTTTCCCGACTTTGGCTGTTCCTTCTTCCACCTGTAAGACATTGAGCTTCCAGTCAATTTCCATCAACAGGACAGTGAGAGCAGTTCCTGGGAGCTGTTTTTTTAGCACACCTGTATGCCGATGTAAGCCGGATCTTTGCTGTTTCCGGAGCGCAGAACCTGCACAGCCAGAGTTCCTGCAGTCTCACACACACGGTAACAGGAAGCTGACAGATCCACACGAGACCAGCGCAGCTCCAGCCTGTGTTGGCAGAACAACCAGACTAAATCACACTGAGGCTGGAAATATCTACAGTTCAGGTGGGTTCCGGATCATGTTCGGAAATGTTCCGACTGTCTTACTACACAATTACTTACTATACAATTAATAACTTACTATTCAAGCTGTCTTACTACATGGATAGTAGCATACATAAATACATGCCATGCAACATGTCAACTGACTGACTATACATTAATTCGTTCATTTTCTTTTCGGCTTAATCCCTTTATTCATCAGGGGTTGCCACAGAGAAATGAACCGCCAACTTATCCAGCATATGTTTTACGCAGCGCATGCCCTTCCAACTGCAACCCAACACTGGGAAACAGCCATACACTCATGCATTCCCACACATACACTACGGCCAATTTAGTTTATTCAATTCACCTACAGAGGATGTCCTGGACTGTGGGGGAAACCGGAGGACCCGGAGGAAACCCACACGATCACGGGGAGAACATGCAAACTCCACACTTACTAAACAAACAAACAATTAGTAGGCCTAATAGACAATAAATGTATGTGTTTTTTTTAAACGTTATTTTAATCTAAAGAATCTGAAATATGAGGATAAAAGATGGACTTATTACCAATATTTCTAGAGGTAATGTAATATTTGTTTTGTAATTTAAATATATGTATTTTTAAGCAGAGTTTTACTTATTTATGGTGTTATATTACTTTTTAATATATATCATTAAGATGAAAGAAATATATATTAAAAATAAACATAAAAAATGACCTAACAAAATAACATTTTATACATTATTATAATGTGGATTACAAAAAACCTTATACAGACAAAAGATGCACAGCTTGGATTCGAAAATTTTTAAAGGGAGTTTAGGGGACGCGCCCGCTCACACACAGACGCGCAGGATTGTATTTCAGCCACCAAATCGGAATTTATTCGCTTTTAGCTTAGATTTAGACTGATGTAGTTTTATATTAACATGTTAGAAATCTATCCTGCAGTCATTTAATAAAGTTTAGAGGTGAAAGTTTCCCATGACCTGGTTCTCTGGAGATTTTACGTTTTTAATTTAACATAAACAGTCAGCTTTAAAGGTTTGTCGAAGCGGACTGATAATATCAGAGAAACTGAAGAGACTGAAGTGATCTGAATCTAATGAGCTGACAGCAGATTTCTTCAGGATTTGAGATGGATCGAGTTTGCTGAAACTATTTTTTACAACTGCAGTTAATCTGATATTTCTCTGTTTAATCATTTTAATAATAATAATAACAGTAGTAGTAATAATAAAAAATAATTATAGTTTCTAATTTTGCATAAAAACTTATATTAGGATATTAAAATACTTTATACATAAGTTTTTACATAAATGCTAATAATTTTACAAAATGACCTAGTGATTTTTTAATTCAATAGAAAAAATAAGTAACATTTAAACACACATATATAATATAGTTGTGTTTAAATTTTACTTACTATATAGAACCTCTTAATTTATTATAATAAATCTTTTGTCAAATTTGGACGTGGGATGTGTCATTTTGCATTTGTTTAAAAAAAGTTTTAGACAGGACCAAGGTTAATTTTACCATTCAATAACTGCATCAAACGCATGTTTGTGAAAGTTTTGTACTGAATTCTGAACAAGCGAAGAGGATATTAATACACTTCAGGCAGTATTGTGTTTCCTGCTGGGTCTGTGACTTGAAATTCAAAGCTGTCCGCCGTCACTTCCACATCCACAGGAATGACATAGCGCACAGCCTTCTGGTCCACATCCTTCTGAGTGAAGCGTCCTTTGATAAACGCACCTATATAACAAAAAGAAGATTCATTATTCACCATCACCTCTTTCCTAAATGTCCCATGATATATTTGAATCAATCATGTGAATAACTTCTATTAAAAAGGAAAATAGGCTGATTTTACATCTCTTCTAGAGTTAAACAACTGAGTTGTACCATTCATGAACACATTCAGTCGATTTCTGAGCATTTTTTAGCTTGGCTTGGCATAGATCATTGAAGTGGATTCGACCATTAGCATCTAAATAAAAAACAAAATAAACAAAATAAATTGTTTTGGTAATTTTCTTATTTAAAGTTTAACTCTTCTGTACTTACTGACAGACAATGAAAAGTTGCTACTTGACCATTTTTGAATCCATTTAGGTGATCTCTGGGTTGGGCGGGAGAACTTTAAGCTTTAGATTAACTACTCTCATTCCGGTTAAATAATCAAGAAAATATACTGCTGTACCAAAAGTCTTTTTGAATGTTTTCTGAGCGAGATGCTAATAGTGTAATACAATTCAATAACATAAGCTAAGCTAAGCTAAGATTTGCTAAGCTAAGCTAAAAAGTGCTCCCGCCAGACCCAGAGGTTGGCTGAATGGATCAAAAAATGGTCTAACTCATCTGTTTAACTTTAGGGGAGTTGTGAAATAAGTCAGTTTCCAAAAAACAAAAAAATTGTGTTCCTTTAAGCTGTAGACAATCAGTACATGGTTTTAGAATAAAAACAGGCTACAATGAAGTTTCAATATTCTCCTCACAGTTCACCCATTCATTAAAAAAGTGTAGGCCTAAATGTTATTTTCATGACACACACTGAACAAAAATAAAGAAGCAATCAAACTTTATCCAGTCTTCATCATGCATATGGTCTATTTGTAGCATAACCTCCTTATTTAAACTGATAAGTTTCAGTTCTTTCAAACAGACATTTTCCAAACAGGAAGAGCAACCTATAATTTGAAAAAGGTGGATAGTTCGGACACAATCAGTGTCCTGTGCACCTGCCTGTGAGGGTGTTTTCGAGGAAGCCGAAGTGTGGAGGTCTAGTGATGGTGAACTCGAGTGTGTCGTCGGGACTGTCTGGATCTGAGGCCTGCAGCTCTTTGGAAGTGATATAGATGCCATGTTTGCCATCCGGAAGGTTCTCCACAGTACTTGGGATGCCTTTGTTTATAATACTGGGTGGCGTCTTGTCCAGTATCTCTATCTGTAAAGATTGAGAAGAAATGATTGAAGGGATATTAAAGTTCTGCCATCGTTTACAACACAGGTGTCAAACTCAGTTCCTGGAGGGCCGCAGCTCTGCACAGTTAGCTTTAACCCTAATTAAACACACCGGATCAAAGTAATTGAGTCCTTCGGGCTTGATTGACATCAGCAGGTAGGTATGTCAAAGCAGGGCTGAAACTAAACTCTGCAGATCTGCGGCCCTCCAGGAATTTAGTTTGGCACCCTTGATTTACAGGTATTCATCCTCAAGTTGTTCCAACACAAAATGATATTTTAAAGAATGTTGTAAAAGATAAGTCATTAAATTCCATAGTATGTTGCATGTTGCTTTTTCCAACATTCTTCAGAATATTTTATTTTGTGTTTAACCCAAGAAGCCTTTTTTTAGTTGAGCCTTTTTAAATCAAACTGCACTTATGCTTCATAACCACTAGAGGGAGGCATTACACATCATAAACAACAAAACACTTATTTAACAGCCATTGCTGACAGTAATTTAATAGTTGTCTATTTATTCCTTCCTTATTTTTTTAGATTAGAAAGAAATTATATTAAAAATGTAAATACATGGGCTACATGTTTTTGTAATTGAATTTGTGTAATAAAAAAGTGAGGATAATTAATTATTAAAATATAGTTTTTAATTGACTTCTGTGAATAAAACAAACTTCGTTTATGAAAGACCAAGACTAACAAAGGCACTGTGTTTTATTACGGTAAATATTTCACATTTATTTTTTAGATTAAGTCACTGTAATTTACATATTTTAAAGGTGTATTGTTTTTTTTTAATGTCTACCTTTTTTGTAAATACAAATGTTGAGGTGTTTTTAGTCATTTAATTGCATTAAACTGTTGTATTTGATTATTATTAATATAAAGGTTTAAGCTAAAACAGTAAATTTATTTTTGAAATATTTTTATATTGATTATTTAATCGTAAATAAGTGATTTGCTAAGATAAGCTTTAACTTACACACACACACACACACACACACACACACACACACACACACACACACACACACACACACACACACACACAGTGTTTTTGAGCATTATTGTTTACGAAAATATAAGTTTTTATAACATTAATATACTTAAAAATAAAACACTTTAGCCTATGTTTATACCATGGCCATGGTAATAAGACTTTAAATTGTTTTAACTAATGCAGTATAACTTTCTAATTATAACTTATTGCAATAAAAACAGTCACATGTATAACACAGTGGAGTTCAATGTTGAATACACTAGTCAAGCAGAATCTGCCTTCGACTTGATTTGCTCATCAAAGTCTCTGCATTGTCGGGTAACAGTATGTACATTTAAACAAAATATGACTCATTTACACCATTTAATTGAAACATTCTCCCTCTCTTCTCAGATGGCATGGCGAGCCAAATCAAAGGTTACCATGGGCTAGCTTTGGCCTGCGGGCCTTAGTTTGAGCATCTCTGGTATGTACAGTAAGTAAAGTGATTTAGATACAGTGATGACAATATGACTTTAAAATACTCTGATTTATGATGGATTTTTTATCCATTTATGTCTAATGAAGTAATAAATATTAAGATAATAATACAATTAAATAAATAAATTCTTTCAAAATTGCTAGGTAAAAAAATTGTTCACTCACTTAAAACATATATAAAAGCAACGCCATTTTACCTTTTTGTTGATGTGGACTATATTTTCAGCTAAAGTCGTGCGAGGAGAAGAACAGATATTATTATTTATGACCCTCCTGTCCTGGTATGTCCTCCTCTGGGGTCGCGCGTTTAGATGAGCGCGCTCCGCAGATTTGGCTCCAGTTTGCAGCGCGCCCGTCTACGGCAAAGAGTCTGTGTGCGTGACCCCGCGGGGCGCTAAGAAAGTTTTCGGCTGGTTCACCTGTGTTTGTTTGCGGGAGTGTTTTTTTTCTATGTCTCTTTCTCAAACAGAAGCACAGGGGTGGATGTGCTGGCCAGCGCGTTTGCCGCCTCGCTGACCGCTTCAGCGGAATATTAAATTGTGACTCGAGCCTCAAGAGAGCGACGCCATGACACGGTGAATGGCACCGGACCTGCACGAGCACCTGGCCTGAAAAACCTCTCTGTTTAACATGCAATACAACAGGGAGCGCTTTGTTAACCCGTTGCTCACCTGCTGTGCTCAGTGGTTTGTATGCAAGCCGTTTACCTGACAGTTCATGTTATCTAGTCAGAGCTAAACGAAAGACACCATTTTCCTCACAGAAAAGAACTAGGCTATATAGATTTTTAGGATAAGACACGAGTCATGACTTTATGATTGTTATCATCACAAAACAAACAAACAACCAAACAAAAAGCTATTGTACACGTGTTAACTGCCACATCATTTGTTCATTCATTGTGATTTTAAAGACTTTCAGAGGTCAGAAGTCTGCCATTTTTTGTGGCTTTTAGATTGTAGGCTATATTTTAGTTTAGCTATAGTGCTCTTTGACAATACTGTAAAAAAATCTAACATAATGTAATTTCATCACATACATACACATTTACCAGTTTTCTTGCAAAAAAACAAAAAAAAAAAAAAAAAAACTATTGATGACTCAACTTGCACTCCACAGATTTCTGTCCAATAAGATGCTTCCTCCCCAATGCCAACTGTTACCATGTTAAACTTTGACTATATAATGAATCAATATCCGGTTGTTAAGTCATGACATATGGAATATTTCTGCGTCCAAGCTGCTCAGTTGAATTGAGAAAATATTTGTTTATGACCCCTTTTTAGTCATATAACACATAAATTTTTTTGTTTTTATACATCATGTTGTGCACAACAGTCTCTGGACTTCAGACATCAATGTTTAAACAATTTATTAAAAATTAATCACTTTCTGGCCATCTGATATTAGCCATGGTTATTTATATTGCGATCATGATTTTTGAAAGTATCTCAGCACTTTATAAACATGTATTATTTACATTTGTTGAGCCTCCCCATAGTTTGATAAAGCGTTTGGACCCGGAAATTGCTTTGCAAGACGTCAGACTTAACAAGCAGATTGTTAATTAACTACAACTAAAACCAGCTAAAACCCCTTTTGTTACCAAAATAAAACAAATGCTACATTAAAAATAAATACATTTATAAAAACCTTTAAATTATTTTATTTTAATTAGTTACCAAGAAACTATCTATTTGTTTAATTTAGTTTAACTAAGTAAACTAAACTACCCAAAACTAAAATACATAAAAAAGGAATAAAAATACAGAAAATAAATAAATAAAATATACAGAATATACTAAATGACTCAACATTACAGGTCCCCATTTAATTTACGCAGCAGAATTTTGCAATCCTGAAAATGAGAATATTTGAAAATTACGTTTCAAAAGTCTTGAAAATGATACTTTTATCTATATAGTGGCTCTAAGTAAATTGCAAAAAAATTAATTGGGAAAACAATGAAACCTTCAACATTCATATTTCATTTTCATTCTGTTGGCTTCTTTCATGTCAAATCAGGCATAGCCCTTGTAACCTACAGTAATTGTTTTCGATAAGATTAGGTGCCGGATCAGTTTTCAGAGGTGCTGGATCCGGGTTTAGGTAAGAGGGAGGGTGGGTCAGTGGATCAGTCAGTCAGTCATTTAGTCAGTCGAGAACAGCAGGAGCAAGTGGCACTCGCGAGAGAAATCTGAGATCTGAAAAACAGTGGCCTCTGGTGGATTCGCGAAAACAAAAACGGCAAAAAAAACTTCTCCTGAACGTATTTGGTGCTCTCCAGAAATGTATATAGGTGTATGTAATCAGAATAAGCCTGAGTTAGATAAATTCCCCATAGGATTTTTCCATAGGCTTTACTATAATTGCAAATAAAAACCTCCGTGTTCAAACATACTTCATCATACTTAAAAAATATAAAATAAATAAACAGGGGGGCTAGTAATTCTGACTTCAACTGTACAAGTTTTGTCCATTAAGATAATTTTCACAAAACAATATACCTTGCATTACTATTGAATCCTAATTGCTGATTGGCCACAGATCTGTTTACCACAGACATTATTTAAGTGATGTAATCGGAATCCCTGCAAAAAAACACCATTGATTCTAGTTGCGTCCCAAATGGCACACTACACTATACAGTTAGACACTATGCACTTGACCATATAGTGTATGTTTAGTATCGCCCCAAATGGAACACTAATATTTTTTTGCTAAATGGAAATTCCAATCCTTTCCTTGACTATGTTTAATAGTTGATAAAATAGCGATAGCTCCGCCCTTTCTGCGGCATAATCAAAGATGTGACTCTTGAGTGTGTGAAGTGCTCATCATTCCACACTTCTGCTTATCGGTTGAATAAATGCCTCACCTAAGTATTTAAAGTGCACTTATTCTTCATTCATTCATTCATTCATTCATTCATTCATTCATTCATTCATTCATTCATTCATTCATTCATTTTTCTTCGGCTTAGTCCCTTTATTTATCAGGGGTCACCACAGCACAATGAGCACATATTTTACACAGCAAATGTAGTATTGGGAAACACTCATACACACTTATTCACGCCCGTATAGCGCATGTCTTTGGACTGTGTGGGAAACCGGAACACCCGTAGGAAACCCACGCTAACACAGGGAGAACATGCAAACTCCAAACAGAAATGCCAGCTGACCCAGCTGTGACTCGAACGAGTGACCTTCTTGCTGTGAGGTGACAGTGCTAACCACTGAGCCACCATGTTGCCCCTTGCACTTATTCTATTTAGGACAAAATAATATTTCAGAGTGAATGACCTACTTCAAATTTATACAACAAAATGCAGTAAAATAGTGCCTCAGTGGGCAATTTGGTACACACCTTTTGAGACGAAAGACTGGAATTGTTACAAATACAATGCTAATAAAATGCGGAAGTGCGCTTGTTTTTGGGACTGTTTTAGAACTTTTAATTTAGCTGCCCCTCGAAAAAGTGACTGAATAATAAACAGCAGAAAGCAGTCAAACTGCATGCTCTACAGACAAGTGCGTTCATGGCTATACTTAAAAAGTAGAATATCATCATAAGAACATAACCATATCAGTTTGCAACATCAAGCAGCATGACGACCTGCTTTTAACGTCTAGAAATCAATGGAAGTGGATGAGAACGAAAATCTCAATACAAAAAGATTTTAATGGCTGCACCTGCTTGTACACTGGAAAACCCAAAAAATTAACTCAAACCATTTGAGGAAACCGATTGAAAAAAACTATTTGAGTTCAAAAACTATGTACTTTGTATGTATGAGTACTGTGAACTTAATCTATTTGAGTAAACGAACCAATTTGAGCACAACAAAACCCAATAAATGAGGAGAACTTCAAACAACTGAGTACTGTAAAACCCAATAAGTTAAGGCAACTCAAACTGTTTGAGGAAACCGATTGCTACAAACCATTTGAGTTAAAAAAAACTATATGAGTACTGTGAACTTACTCCATTTAAGTAGAAGTAATGAGGTATAATAAACTTCAAAACTCTTTTCAAATGAATAGAAATTACTTTGTCAATTTGGGTTTACTACACTCATTTCACTTGATAAAGTTGACTGTTGGATTTTACAGTGTACATGAAGATTGATGTCAATGGTCAGTGCTTAAGAACCTGTTGCATTTCTTAAGAAAATGACATCGCCATCTTCTGGCCTACCATGTTTAAAACAGCATTTTTTCGCTTCCAAAGATCCCAAAAAAGTAGCCAAATGTTGTCAGCTTACCTGTATTGTAAAAACAGCCGGGTCACTCTTTAGCTGTCCGTACTCCAAATAGCCCTTGTTCGTTCCATCAGTGGGCTGAAAGGCGAACCTGTCGATCGTGGCTCGTCCATTCAGATGTTGGTAAGCTAGATCCATATTGTTGATGTCCAGTTGTGTGAAACGAGGCTTGGAGAGAGGCAATCCTTTAAAGAGCAGCTTTCCATACTGTGGGCTTTGAGTAACTACATAGGTGAGATTCTCTAGAGCTGTATCTGGATCAGTCAGTTTTAGCTCTTCCGTGGAGATGGTCTTCATAGAGCCCTCTGTGAGCTCAAGGCCTTTGTTGGTGCTCAGGGTTGGTGGGATCCGGTCACTGTGTTCAATGGTGAAATGAACTGTACCACTTCTGGAAGCTACACCGTTACTAATGGCAAAGCTGCAGGAGAGAACATGATTTGTGTCAGAAAAGATTTGAAGAATTCAGCTTTTTTGATCGTCTATGCATGTATTTGAACACGTTTTAGCCATATTTGAAGTTGAATGTTGAATCAGAATGTCTGATATCAGCAAACTTGTACAAGTACAGCAGTTAAATAACTGGTTTGCTATTTTGCAGATGTAACCCCGCCCGCCTGTCCTACACCACCCAACCCACTCTGAGGTGGGCGACTGTCCGCATGGGAGTGGGTCGCTCTAACAAGGAGGCATGGCCTCTTGTGTCCGTTGCTAGAGCACCTTTAGAGGTCAGAATACTGAGGCTAACATGCACAGCACTTCACTAGCAGGCCTCTGTTATACTCACCCCCTAAACCTTACTTCCATCCGGGTCACGGCACCAATGTTATCCCACCGGTCCTACACCACCCAACCCGGTATCAAACCGGCAACTATTTGCATGGGAGTTGACTGCATGGGATCGCATGGAATTGGCCTCCATTACACAGACACACTAATAAGAGTGTATTGTAGGTAATAATTATGATAGTTACATAATGATGACGTTAATAATTTGCACATCATGAGGCATAGAAAAGGGTACGTTGTAAAAAAAAGTTGACAACTTAAAATTGGAAGGCAACGTGCTGTAGTTTTTTTTTGAGTTGACTCAACTTTTAAGTACTTCACTTGACTCCTTTTAAGTCGAGCCAACTAAAAATTCTGTGCAGCAAGATGCTTTACAATTTTAAGTTGAGTCATTTTTTGTACAGTTTATAGAGAACTTAATTATAACTAGATTCTTAAAGTTTGAGAACAAACTTTGAGGCTGGCTTGTGAAAGCCTGACGGTAATAGTTTATTTAGTTTAAACAGTTTTAAAAAGTATGAAAAGATAGATAGATAGATAGATAGATAGATAGATAGATAGATAGATAGATAGATAGATAGATAGATAGATAGATAGATAGATAGATAGATGTTGTTAGCATGATTCTAGCATGAATTAGCATAATGTTAGCATGATTCTAGCATGAATTAGCATGTTGTTAGCATGATTCTAGCATGAATTAGCATGTTGTTAGCATGATTATAGCATGAATTAGCATGTTACTAGCATGATTTTAGCATGAATTAGCACGATTCTAGCATGAATTAGCATGTTGTTAGCATGATTCTAGCATGAATTAGCAAGTTACTAGCATGATTCTAGCATGAATTAGCAAGTTGCTAGCATGATTCTAGCATGAATTAGCATGTGGTTAGCACGATTCTAGCATGAATTAGCATTTGACTAGCATGATTCTAGCATGAATTAGCATGTGACTAGCATGATTCTAGCATGAATTAGCATGGTGTTAGCATGATTCTAGCATGAATTAGCATGTGACTAGCATGATTCTAGCATGAATTAGCATGTTGTTAGCATGATTCTAGCATGAATTAGCATGTTACTAGCATGATTCTAGCATGAATTAGCATGTTGTTAGCATGATTCTATCATGAATTAGCATGCTACTAGCATGATTCTAGCACAAATTAGCATATTGTTAGCATGATTCTAACATGAGTTAGCATGTTATTAGCATGATTCTAGCATGAATTAGCATGTTTTTAGCATGATTCTAGCATGAATTAGCATGTGACTAGCATGATTCTAGCATGAATTAGCATGTTGTTAGCATGATTCTAGCATGAATTAGTATGTTACTAGCATGATTCTAGCATGAATTAGCATGTTGTTAGCATGATTCTAACATGAATTAGCATGCTACTAGCATGATTCTAGCACAAATTAGCATGTTGTTAGCATGATTCTAACATGAATTAGCATGTTACTAGCATGATTCTAGCATGAATTAGCATGTTGTTAGCATGATTCTAGCATGAATTAGCATGTGACTAGCATGATTCTAGCATGAATTAGCATGTTGTTAGCATGATTCTAGTATGAATTAGCATGTGACTGGCATGATTCTAGCATGAATTAGCATGTGACTAGCATGATTCTAGCATGAATTAGCATGTAACTAGCATGAATTAGCATGTGACTAGCATGATTCTAGCATGAATTAGCATGTAACTAGCATGATTCTAGCATGAATTAGCATGTTGTTAGCATGATGGATAGATAGATAGAGGTAGATAGATAGATAGATAGATAGATAGATAGATAGATAGATAGATAGAGATAGATAGATAGATAGATAGATAGATAGATAGATAGATAGATAGATAGATAGATAGATAGATGGTGTAAGAGCATGAGTCAAACAAGCCAACCCCCGCCTCTCTACGATGTTCTGATGCTGAGATATAGCTGCTGTTATATCGTTGCTAGGTTAGTCTGTTTTGTTGCTATGGAGTTGATTGACAGCTTAGACTGATGATGTATCAAAGCTTCTTGCCCGTATGAACAGTTAAAAACAACCCCCATGTCTCTATCACACTGCAGCATGACAATATCAGTCTGAACCTCTTTAATGGCAGTCTATGGGACAGTTGCTAGGGTGCAGTATCTGGTTGTTAGGGTGTGGCTAGAAGGTTAAAAAGCCATCAGTGATTGGCTGCTTGCTAGACTGAGTTAAATGAGCTCAATCATTAGTCTGTAGGACAGTCTGATGCAGAGTTATGAGCTCACAAAGTTTGATCCCATGTAAAGTCAATGAGAGTCTTTTGCAATGGAAGTCTATGGGACGGTTTCTAGGGTCCAAAAGTGGTTGCTAGGGCGTGGCCAGAAAGTTCAAAGGTGATCAGTCATTGGCAGTTTAATAGTCTGAGTTAAATGAGCCCAGTTAGAAGTCTGTGTGACATTCTGATGCGGAGTTATGAGGTCACAAAGTTTGATCCAATGTTACGTCTATGGGATTTTTCCGACGGTCCCGGGACGTTTTTCGGGAAACCGAAAGTCGGATCAGTCGGAAAGGATATAGCAACTCGAGTCAGAATAGTTCGGAGGTCTGACCCGAGTTTGATGGTCATAGCTTGAAAGGTCTAGGTGGAGATAGAGTTTAATTTTTAGTCTCAGAAGAAGAATAACTAGACAGTAAAGTTCGTCGAGACAAACTTTGAGGCTGGCTTGACAAAGCCTGTTGGTAATAGTTTATTTAGTTTAAAAATAGTTTGAAAAAGTATAAGTAGCATGTTATTAGCATGATTCTAGCATGAATTAGCATGATTCTAGCATGTATTAGCATGTTATTAGCATGAGTGTAGTACAAATTAGCATGTTATTAGCATGATTCTAGTATGAATTAGCATGTTATTAGCATGATTCTAGCATGAATAAGCATGTTACTAGCATGATTCTAGAATAAATTAGCATGTCACTAGCATGATTCTAGTATGAATTAGCATGCTACTAGCATGATTCTAGCATGAATTAGCATGTTACTAGTATGATTCTAGCATGAATTAGCATGTTACTAGCATGATTCTAGCATGCATTAGCATGTTACTAGCATGATTCTAGTATGAATTAGCCTGTTACTAGCATGAATCTAGTATGAATTAGCATGTTATTAGCATGATTCTAGCATGAATTAGCATGTTATTAGCATGATTATAGTATGAATTAACATGTTACTAGCATGATTCTAGCGTGAATTAGCATGTTATTAGCATGATTCTAGCATGCATTAGCATGTTACTAGCATGATTCTAGTATGAATTAGCATGTTACTAGCATGATTCTAGTAAAATTTAGCATGTTACTAGCATGATTCTAGCTTGAATTAACATGTTACTAGCATGATTCTAGCATGAATTAGCATGTTATTAGCAAGATTCTATTATAAATTAGCATGTTATGAGCATGATTGTAGTATGAATTAGCATCTTACTATAATGATTCTAGTATGAATTAGCATGTCACATAGCATGATTAGGTGGTTGCTAGGGTATTCTGAGTGGTTACTAAGTCGTTGCTAGGCAGTTGCTGGGGTGTCCTGAGTGGTTGCTAGGTGGTTGCTAAGGTGTTGCTAGGCGGTTGCTAGGGTGTTCTGAGTGGTTGCTAGGTGGTTGCTAAGGTGTTGCTAGGTGGTTGCTAAGGTGTCCTAAGTGGTTGCTAGGTAGTTGCTAGGGTATTCTGAGTGGTTGCTAAGGCGTTGCTAGGGGGTTGCTAGGGTGTCCTGAGTGGTTGCTAGGTGGTTGCTAAGGCATCGCTAGGTGGTTGCTAGGGTGTCCTGAGTGGTTGCTAGGTGGTTGCTAAGGCGTTGCTAGGCAGTTGCTAGGGTGTTCTGAGTGGTTGCTAGGTGGTTGCTAAGGTGTTGCTAGGCGGTTGCTAAGGTGTCCCAAGTGGTTGCTAGGTGGTTGCTAAGGTGTTGCTAGGTGGTTGCTAAGGTATTCTAATTGGTTGCTAAGGCGTTGCTAGGCGGTTGCTAGGGTGTCCTGAGTGGTCGCTAGGCCCTTACTAAGGCATTACTAGGCCGTTGCTAGGCGGTTGCTAGGGTAATTTGGGTGGTTGCTAGGCAGTTGCTAGGGTACCCTGGGTGGTTACTAGGCAAGCCTCACATACATGCTTGATAAAACATTTAAACTAAGTAAGCATGTCTAGCAAGTTACAGTACTTGGCTAGTCAATATTAGCATGTAGCTAATCACTGCTAGCATGTGTAGCATATAGGAAGTTCCGTTTGCTAGCATGAGTCAAACGAGCCAATCTCCAAGTCTCTACGATGTTCGGATGCTGAGATATGGCTGTTGATGAATGGTTGCTAGGGTACTTTGTTTTGTTGCTATGGGCGAGGTTACAAAGTGCACTTGAATGTGGTTGGCTGTCTAAGTCAAATGAACCAACCCCCATGTCTCTATGACACTGCTATGCAAAGATATGCATCTTGGCCTATTTTAATGGAAGTCTATGGAATCAATTTGGGGGCGTGGCTTGTGAGCTTCATTATCATATTGAGATGCTCATTGGTTGTCTGAGTCAGATGAACCATCCCCCAAGTCAATAGGACAATGCTAAGCAAAGATATGCATGTAGGCCAGTTATTAACATC